ATTTTTTAATGATCATAGCTTCTAAGTTTTCTACATCTGTGTTGCAATATATCTTGCTTTTTTGCTCCTTCCTCTACCCGACATGTAGTTCAACTAGACAGTTCTTATGGCGAATCGTTCTTCATTGCACTTGTCGCGTGCATTTCTTTGCTGTATTGTTGTTTTGATAGCAACACTGGTTCTTTTTTATTTTGATGTGGATGGGGTGTTTTCGTTAATGGATCTTTCTGCAGAAGTACGGCCTGTAGGGTTTGCGACTTCTGCACCCCGCAGCGTTAGTTTACGCATCCATGATGAGTCTCTGCGCTACATTCCACACAATAGTGTACGCACATGGATGAAGAGGGACTACCTCATCGTTCTTGGTATCCCATCTGAAGATATTACACCCCGCCAGAGACGTCGTTATCTGCAGCGGACTACGTGCTGGCAGTTCCCCGGTGTTGCGACAAGATCAAATAACTTCACTGGGTCCATGTTGGTGTTGTATGTACTTGCACGGCACCCATCACAGGGCTATAACTATTCTACTGCACTAGAGAAGGAGGGTGATGAGTATCATGATGTCATTACACTGCCGATGAATGAGGGACGCTATGCAACTAATAAAACAATTTCTGGTGATGGTTTTTGGGGTAGTGAAGCTGAAATTGGTATGAGCCGAAAAACGTACTTTTGGTTTGAGTTTGCATTACGTTTTTTTCCTCATGTTAATTATATTGCAAAGAGTGACGATGACATGTTCTTGCGAGTACCGCAATACCTTGTTGATCTTCGTACATTGCCTCGTCGTGGTCTTTATTGGGGTCCTTTAGGAAAGTGGCGTGTGGGAAATCATTTTTATTTTATTGTGGGTTTCTTTATGACACTTGCGAGGGATGTTGTAGAAAAGGTGGTTTCGAATGAGGAGCTGCAGCATGTGGTACGGCTTCCCTACAGTAAAGAGCGAGAGTCAGAATTTCTTTCATTAGACATGGGTCATGAGGACGTGATGGTTGGCCGGGCACTGTATAAAAGTCAGTACCCACACCTTTTGTTTGCTACAGAGAAAAAGTGTCGATTTCACAATGTACGCTGTGGGTCTCATAAACGACATATAAGCAAGAGTTCTGTTGTGGTACATCATATTACAGAGGAAGAGTATACAATTCTAATGAATCGATTTTGGAACGACACCACGCCATCACCTAAATCGTATAAACGAAAGAAAAAATCACTTGAAATGAATTGTTAATGTACTTTATTATGTAGTTTTTTTTTGTTTTCAAATTGGTTTGGGTTTTTTCTTTGTTTTCGATGGTGAAATCTTTTTTTTTGCCATTCATTTTTTTTTTCTTTTTTTTGCAGATAAAAGAGTTCTAACTTCTATTAATCAGTGTATCATATCTTTTTATCTTTTGTATTCAAAATGGAATCTTGCCTTTTTTGTGCTTTTTTTTTCTTTTCTCTTGTAATTCTCTTAATACTTCTTTAAATATTTATGTTGTTTTTTATCATTACTTCTCCACATGTGCTGTTTTTTACTTGTTTTTTTTGAAGTAGTTGCGTATTTGAGCGTTTCTTTTTTGTTGAATGCGTATGGGTTGTGTATAAAATTTGTTTCAGCTTGTTTGTATTGCTGTAATAAAGGAACAGTCATTTCATACTTAATTATCTTATATATATATATTGTTTTTTCTTTTTACTCCGAGTGTACTTACTACGATTAAATTATTTATGTATATTTTTCTCTCTTATTCACTCACTCACATGTATTGTTACCATGTGTCTGTGTACGTTGTGTTTTTTTTTCTTTTTTTTGCTATGAATTTGCATTGTATTATTTCTTCCTTTAAAGTCTATCTCTTTTCTGTACTTGTAGCCTAACGAGGGATGTCTGCTGTTATGAGTGACGCTGCAGTATTGCCGAGCGCTGCGGGTGATGATCGCCCCAACGGCGGCCACGTGATGGTGACCTTCTTCACCACAACGTACGCGAAGGCGATGCCGGAGCAGTCGTACTCTGTGCCGCTGAGCACACTGCCGGAGGGGCTGAGCACTCTTGTGCAGTCGGTGCTGGGCGTGGAGGAGCAGCCGTTCGACTTTCTCCTCAACGACGAGTACATTGGCACGTCGCTGCAGAAGTTCCTCACCCGCCGCGGGATCAGTTACGAGGAGCTCCTCAACGTGGAGTACACACCGGCGCTGCAGGCGAAGGAAGGCGCGCTGCTCCCGCACGACGACTGGGTGAGTAGCGTGCGGGCCCCCGTCGCCGGCTGCGCGGAATTGCTGCTGACGGGATCGTACGATCACTGCGTGCGGCTGTGGGACGGCGAGAACTGCGTCGCCCTCGGCACATACCACGACGAGTGCGTGAAGGAAGTCTGTCTCCACCCACTGCGACCAACACCTGCCGCAGACACTCAAGAGGCTTCACGAAAGCGAAAGCGGGCGACCCAATTGGAAGATTTCTTCTCTGTTAGCTGCAGTAAAGATGGTAGCGTTGTGGCATGGCAATTTGATGCCGCCTCAGCTCAACTAAAACCACTCGGAGCGGTGAAATCACACTTGGATGGTGTTGACTCCGTGGATGTCTCACCAGGAACAGGTGCATTCGTCGCCAGCGCCTCATGGGATTGTAGTGTAAAAGTATTTGAGTGGGAAACGCTTATTGATACAAAAACGGCAGCATCTGCAAAGGCCCCTCTTGTCTCATTTACAGATCACACAAGACCTGTTCTCGCCTGTCGTTTCTCTGCTGTGGGTGTTAATACAGATTTGCTGCTTTACTCCGCCGGTCTTGACGGCTCTGTGAAGTGCCTTAATGTTGATCAAGCTGTGATGCAGCAACAATACACGGGTGATCACCCAATTCAAGGTCTTGCTGTAAAACATGCTGGTGGTGGTGGTGATCTCATCCTCGCAGCGTGCACTGATAATCGTGCACGACTGTACGACACACGTGAGAAGAATACTATCAAGACGTTCAGTGGTCACCGGCAGTGGCTTTACGCAGCGACATGGATGTGCCGACGTGAAGAGGGCACAGATGCAGCAGCAGCTGCTGCTCATCTTTTCGCTACGGCCAGCGAAGACAGTACCGTGCGTGTGTGGGATCTTCGCTCGACCTCTTCTGCGTTACTCACCTTGGATACTATGCACACGGACGGTGTGCTTGACGTTACATACGTTGGAGACTCTCAGATTGCTTCTTGTGGAAAAGACAATAAGACTAAAACACTTTCATTGTCTAAAGAAGGAATACTATGAAAGTACACCCAGTACTGCTTTCCATTGGAGCAATAATGGTTAATTTTTTTCCTAAAGAAAAAAGAAAAATGACCACTCTAAGGTTACTTCGGCTAAAAAGAAAAAAAGGTAAAAAAAAAAAAAAGAATACATCAGGCCTTCTGTTTATGTGTATGCATGTTTATGTGTCTCTAATGAACAGCTCAATACACATATACATAGCTCTGTGAAAGAGATTCATATTACTTTTTTATAGAAATTTGTATTATATTTTTTCTCTGTTAAACAATGTCTTTTATACTCTCTATATTCTTTTTATTATTTTATTATTATTATTATTATTCTTTTTTTTTCTTTTGCCTCTATGTTTGTAATGTAAAGTCTAGAAGATTATGGAGGAGGACCTTTTTACTCTTATCGATCGAGACTTTGATGGCTTCCTTACGCTAGAAGAGACACTTCAGTGCTTTGAGCATCTTGGATTTATACGGGACAGTGAAAGTGTGAAATTGATTGAAACGGAATTTTCACAGTTTGTAGGAAAACGTCTTGACGAGTTTGGGTTTCGTAAGATGGTGAATATTTTGTGTGCGCACTGTGGTGTACGTCTTGGCAGTGTGTGGAGTGTATGCGTAGAACAGGCACTTTATGCTGCCTTCACTAAGAGTGCCTCAAAACCTGAAATGACTGTTCCACGCTCCACCATGGAATTCATTCAACGCTCTCTTGTTGAAAGTGGTGAGGAATACACAGGTGATCCTTCTGTATTTGCTGCTAATACACCAGATCATCTTGACTACGGTGATTTTATTGAATTTTTTCAACTAAGGTGGCCTCATTTATCAAGGGCAAAGGTAGCTTCATTACTTTTAAAGTTGTACCCATATCAGCAGCAGAGTAATGTTATAGGTGTAAGTAAAATGACAAGCTCCTCTACGCTAAATCCTAGTGAAGAGAAGGATAAGGATAAGGAACATGCTGGACCTGACGAATATCCAGATATGCTCTCCCATGACTATGTGGAAGCCCTTCTTAAATATGCAACTCTTCTGAAAGCTACGTTGCGGTTTAGAGAAGAACAAGTTAAGTCTGCTGAAGAACTTATTACACAGAATGCAATTCTCCGTGAGTCACTAGCAGTGGCCACAGAGGAGCATGTACGTGCACAAGGCCAGATACAAGCATTAACGCGAGAACTTGAAGTTTTAACTGAAGAACGTCCAGTACGCTCAGATGCCATTGCTGCAATTCCACAGCATGATGCAGCAGGCAGGGAATGGGATGATACCATAGATGCACTGAGCGATAATGTAAAAATCCTTTCTCTCGTACGCCGATTCTGTAGCCAGCGAGAGGAAGCTGAAGCAACACGTGAACTAGCAGAGCGTGCGAAGGAAATACAACTTGAGAGGCAGCAGAAATTTCTTCTTAGTTGGGAGACGGCACTACATAACAAGGAAAGCGAGATGATCCAGGAGCAATTAGAGACGAAGAGGAAATGGTCGGAAGCATTTATGCTCAAGGAGCAACAACTCCGTCGCTTGCAAGAGAATTTGGAGCTAAAGGAACTCCAGCTTACAGTACGTGAAAAGGCATTGGCAAAGCGGCAACAAGCACAATATGAGCTTGACCGCGAGTCTAATGAACTTTCATTTGCTGAACGACGAAGACGTCTGCAACAGCTGGAGCGTATAGAGGCCACCCTGCGTAAGCGTGAGGAGCAACTGAAAGCGCGTGAAGAAGCGTTTCTGCACAGCAAACAAAATGTTGTTGAAGGGGAAAAAAACGAAGGATATAAGGCTCTCTCATTTGCTTAATAATGTCTCTCAGATTACATGAAGACAGCCTTAACTACGTCAAACGTGTTTTGTCACTCTAATAAGAGGGACTAAAAGTACCTAGAAGGTAATTGATGAGTAGATGTTCTGTACACCTCATAACGTATCATCATGTCTTTCAGTATTATCGTAGTCTTTTTTTTTTTGAACGTTACTGAGTCATTTTTTTTTGCCTTTTTATTTTTATTTTTATTTTTTATGGTGAACCCTCTGCTGGATATATTACTCAGAGGTCAACTTTTTTTTAATTGTTTTCTCAGATGAGAAGTTGTTGGGAAATCTTTTTCTTTATTTGTTTCTTCTTGTGATATTCTTTTCTTTTTTTCTTCTCTCTTCTACACCATAGTAAAAGTAAACAATAACGGAAAAGGAGGAATGGGAGTAAAGAAGCAGACAAGGCGCTCCGCTACCACATCTAAAGCAGTAAAGAAAGATAAGCCTCGTCGCAAGAAGCAGGAAGAGGAGGAAGATGAGACAACAATCCCAGTAATTGAAGAAACACCTCATTATGATGATATGGACATCAATAATACCAATGGTGCAGAGGCAATAGATGAGAATGAGGATGAAGATGATGACATTGACTTTGAAGATGTTGTGTCTGAGGAAGACGGTGACGCTGCATTTGATGAGGCCATTCGCGATGATGACGACTTTGAGGTAAAGGCAGAGAAGTACCGACGTCGTATGCTCGCACTTAACCGTGATGCCGCTGAGGAACGTGAGACAGAGATGCGAACACGAATGACAAAGGCCACACCACTGCGTGATGCTGAGGAAGAGGAAGAGCAACAGCAACAACAGCAGCAGATGCAGTTGCTTGGTCAAAAGCACTCTGCAGAAGAGTTACGTGATCGTATTCAGGAGACAGTTCGTGTACTATCGAACTTTAAGGAGGAGCGTGAGGAGGATCGAACACGAGAGGAGTACATGCAACTTCTTCGTTCTGATGTTATGGAACTGTATGAGTACAATGATTTCCTTACAGATGCAATTCTTTTACTGTTTCCACCTGCTGAAGCTATTGAATTCTTTGAGGCTATGGAGAAACCTCGACCTACGACGATTCGTGTAAACACGCTTAAGGCGAAGCGACGAGATTTGGTACAGGCGTTGGTAAAACGTGGAATGAATGTGGAACCTCTGGAAAAGTGGTCCAAGGTGGGATTACAGGTGTTTGAGTCAAATGTTCCTATTTCTGGTACCATTGAATACCTTGCTGGGCACTATATGCTGCAGTCAGCGGTTTCATTTCTACCCGTAATGGCTCTTGCACCGCAGGAGCATGAACGTATTCTTGATATGGCAGCTGCACCTGGTGGAAAAACAACGTATATTGCTCAGCTTATGAAGAACACGGGTGTTCTTTTCGCTAATGATGTGAGTGAGGCCCGTACAAAGTCATTAAACGCAAATCTGCAGCGCCTTGGTGTAACGAACGCAGTTGTGACAAACTACGACGGTGTTGGTTATGAAAAGGTGATGCGAAACTTTGATCGTGTTCTGCTTGACGCACCGTGCACTGGCAGTGGTATTATCTCTCGTGATGCGAGCATCAAGAGCAGCAAACACCTTGATGATGTGCAGCGTGCATCTCAACAACAGCGTGCACTGCTGCTTGCCGCCATTGACGCTGTGCGTGTTGGTGGCCACGTGGTGTACTCCACCTGTTCTTTTCTCGTGGAGGAGAATGAGGCGGTTGTGGACTTCGCCCTCCGCCGCCGCGGGGTCGTCGCTGTTGAGATGGGCCTTCCGTTCGGCAGACCGGCACTCACAAAGTACAGACACCACCGCTTTCACGAGAAGCTGCAGTGCGCCCGCCGGTTTCTCCCACACGTGCACAACATGGACGGTTTCTTCGTCTGCAAGCTGAAGAAGGTGTCCGACGAGAGACGGGACAACATCACAGACGCAGAAGAGCATAAAGACAACATTCCACAGAGAAAAAACAAACAAGAGAGAGTTGTACTGGAAAAGAGGTCACGTAGTGCCACAGATGACAACGGAGATGCACAAAACACAAAAAGAATGCACATCAGTATCCCACCACCAATTCGAAAAGGCGGTAAGGCAAAAAATGGTAGCGCTTAAGTGGAAACGAAAAGAGGTACAAGGTGTACGTTAATAATAATAATAAAAAACAAACGATTACACCGATATTCTCATGCCCCCCATTTATTCATATGCACAAATGAAAGAGATGGAGATACTTAATTTTCTTTAACGTTCTCCATTATTTAATAAATGTTACTCAACGTATAATACATGTGCAAAATCACTCCCCTAACTAATAGGAAAGAAATTGTATGCATTTTTACCTATAGTGTTACTATATCTAGAAATGAGTATACTTCTCCTTTATCCTGATTTTCTTTTTCTTTCTTTTTATTTTTATTTTTGTTTTTACTATTTAAAACATACTCCAGTAGGGAAGAAAATGACAAGTGCAAGTATTCGCTCCTATCTACAGCAAAGGGTCCAACAATACTACCTCGATGTTCTTCCCTCACGTTGGCGCGCGTTGCTCTCTCGTTTAGCTCGTAACACACAGAAGTGGCAACAAGATGAACAAGATGTTAATCCTAATCGAAATTTGTTGATAGATATTTATGCAGACTTTGACCTTTCTAGTGCACTCCTTGATGAGGAACACCAAGTCTACCGAGAAGGTGTTTCGCTTCTGCATAGTTCTCCTTCATCTTTTGAGAATGACCAATCAAATGAAGCTAAATCTGCGGTAAAACGACTTTTGCAAGCACTCCTCTCCTGCATCGCATTAAAGGAGACCATCATCACACATTGGAAAAGTTCCTTCGCTAATATTCCCCCTGACACGCTTCGAGTATACTGTCATGCATGTATTGCACATCCACATCTCTCTACCAGCGAGGTGGAGAGAGTAAGTGCACTTTATGCATCAATATAACGTTAATTTTTTTTTTCAATACTATAATTTTTTTTTGGTGATTATTTCTCTTGAGTTTTCCTACCCATCCACCCAAAGAGATACATCTCTCTTGTAATGAATGATTCGTTTTTCTTTCTTTTTATAAGCGAAATAATAAAAAAAAATTTTCCATATAGAATATAGCTATGGATGAAGTACGTGTCTTTCTCTTAGACTGCGTTATGGCAGTTAAAGAGTTTTTATTAGATTGCATGCATGCTCTTCGTGAAGTGTTAAAAGTTGGTAATACTTTCGCACTCCAGATATTCAAGAATACCTTTTTGGCATCTATTATTACCATTGTGACCGCGTTAGTTTTATTTTTCGCATTTTTAGGTTGTCTTTCTGTTGCACTTATTGGTTCGTTTGCTGTACGATATTACGTACTTTCAAATGTCCCTGAAAATCAAATTCACCATCTCGATATTAACACCATGCCGTTTGAGACAGAACCGTGGTTAATGCGGAAGCTGGATCGTACTTTCTCACATGTGTCTACTTTATTAGAAGTAACTCCACACTCTTTTGATAATCATATTGCTGTAGGAGCAGGGGAGCTTGCGGAAGTCCAGAAGACATCCTCATTTTTAGAACAGGCGGCATCTTTAAAAATGACACTTATAAAAAAATATGTTCATGGTACTCTCGCAAAAAGTACACTAATGATTCCATCGTTAGTGCAGAAAGAAGTGTTCCCTCCTGGTGGTGGGGTTTCTATAGAGTCACTTTTTCATCAACGTAAACCCATGTTCAATGCCAGAGGGACATATGATGCCAAGATGCAACTTGTATTTGTTAGAGAAGACGTTGGACGCGATGTATCCATGATGCTTGAATCATCTGTGTTAATTTCTGATGATTCACATGTGCCACAGTCTATTAGCTCTTTAGATTCACTCTTCAAGGTCACTACATCATTTACCTTAACGACTGGAGAAAAACCTATTCATTGGTTACCTCAAATACTTAAAAAAAGTTTTCATTTCTTTTTTTATATACCCATCGTAATCTACAATTCAATTGCATCTTTTCTGCGCTTTGATGAATTTCCTTTTGTTGATGAGTCCAGTGAAGTTTCAGTTGTGACACCGGTTTACAATAACTTTGAACCTCCTATGTCCTTGCAACCACGACTTCGTGCGATTAACTTTACTCTTTACCAACATGAAGGTGATGTGGCACATAAAGCACAATTGAAACGAATGCATTTACACACTAGTGTTCAGCTTAGTGGACTTGCATATTACTTTTCAGCGTATTCCATGGCTGCCTTTGTGGTAACAACACTTATTTTTTTCACTATAAGCTCTACTATTGTTTCAGGAATCCTATTGGGAGTTGGAATGGCGATATTATCATGGTATATGCGTAACAAGTATTCCTCAATGGATAGTGATGAAGATGTTGATGATAATGAAGATGAAGAAGAAATAAAAGAGTATAGTGAGGTACATCGAGATATGCATAACCATAGTAACTTATCGACTTCATTAAATGACCCCAAATTGTTATCTTCTGCTCCTCTTTCGAGAAGAGAATCATCATCATTTCTTTTTTATGAGGTAGATCCGATTATAAACAGAAAAAGGAAATCAAGATAATGCGAATTGTACATGGGACTGCACTTTTTTCTTTGTTTATATATATATATATATATTCCATTATCCTAATAGAATGTTTTCATTCATTTAGATGATAACACATTATTATTATTATTATGGCACCACATTTATTAAATACCAATTGTTATTTAACATTGGTCCTCAGTACTTATTTTTTTCCTTTTCTTCTTGTAGAAAGTACTATTTTTTTTTCTTCCTTTTCTTTTCGTTGTTACCCGTGTGAAGCATGTCTCTCAATTTTGACAGTTACGCAGCCTCCCAACGGCAACGATTGGATGAAATACGACGCGCAACCGAGAAGGAGCGACAGTTGCTCGCCTTGCATGCTGGTAGAATGTCACACAGTGTGGATACCAGTCCAACTGCACCTAGAGATTTTGCATTACAACAGAGTGCGAGTCATGAGAGTAGTCGCTGGCTCTCGCTTAATGACAGAGCTATGGAAATGCATGCGTTGGATGAACAGCTAACATTAGAGGAACGCGATTTGGATAAACAATTTTTTGAACTTGATCGTCGCTTGAATGCAGCTGAGCGTCGAAAGACAGAGTTGCTATCACAGCTCACACTTTTGCAGCACCGAGAGGCACTGATAAAAAAACAAGAGGAACAACTTGAGGAAGAAGAGACGGGTGCTGAGAGAGAGACTAGACTGTTAGAGACATTTGCACAAGAAGTAGATGAGGAACAGCGTTCTCATAACGTCCGTGTGAGTGAGAAACGTGGTCGAATTGATGTGGCAAAGACAGCTGCTCGTGATCAGCAAAAAAAGCGTGAGTCACTGGAAGCACGAACCCGCTCTCATGTTGATGAGATTCAAGATCGTATTAGACACCATCGCACAGAGCTTATGAATCGTACTAGTGCACTTAACGATAAAGAGCGGTGGTTACGGCAAGAAGAATTGAGGATTCGGGAAGAGGAGTTATCTGCCATCTACCGGCTTAGGAAAGAAATTGAGTCCATGACACTCTCTCTTTCTGGTGGAGATGCTACACGTCAGTAGAAAAAGTTATTTTTATTTATTTGATTTCATATCACCATTCTTACATTTTTTTTTCTTTCTACCGTACTATTGGAAGCGAGAATAAACTCTCTCTCTCTCTCTTTTTTTTTTCTTTGCATCCCATCAGATGCAGCATTGACCTGTATTTTCTATCAATCTCATGACAGAAAACATCTTGTTTTTATTTTATTTTATTTTATTTTTTTGCTTTCTTATTATTCTTTTTATTATTCTTGTTATCTTTGTAAATAAATGTACTTGTTTGTTTTCTTTGTTCTTTTTTATTTATTTACATGTGCAGAGCAAAATCGGAAGCGAAAGTTGACTGTAAGTGTATAATGGACGACGAGTTGCTGCTGCAGCTGAATGAGACGGAGGACCTTGTGGATGATGAGTTCATCTTCAATGCGGATGACGACCCTGCCGCGTCGACGGACATCGACAGCGAAGACATTTGGGAGATTATCTCCTCCTTCTTCCGCGAGAAGGGCCTCGTCCACCAGCAGATCGACTCGTACAACGACTTCCTCCTCCGCATCCCCCGCATGGCCCGCGGTCTGCTGGAGGTGGTCCCCCGCCAGGACGAGCAGTTCGAGCCGGGCACGCGGGCAGACGGCGAGCCGGACCAGTACCGCCTCAGCCTCGAGGACGTCGTCGTTGGCAATCCCGCACACGAGGCCGCAGGCTTCAGTCGACACGAACTCAACCCGCTCTTTCCAAACGAGTGTCGCCTGCGAGACTTGACATACGACGCCAACGCGCAGGTAACACTCGGTATACGTGTCTACCGCTCACGGGAGGAGCAGCCTTACCGCACCTTCTTGCAAAACATGGAACTTGGTCGTATCCCTATCATGCTAAAGTCTATGCGATGTAACCTGTATAACAAGGATGAGGATGAACTCCCACGTCTTAATGAGTGTCCACACGATCAAGGAGGATATTTCGTTATTAATGGAACAGAAAAGGTACTTATCGCCCAAGAACGACAGGCGGCTAATCATGTTTATGCCTTTACTCGACCAAAAGGACTACTTTGTGAAATCAAATCTATTGTGGAAGGTTCACTAAACAAGCCACGTACACTTCAAATATTAATGCCTTACAAGAAGAAAGGACCAGGTCACGGCTATGAAAACCTTCTCTGTCGTGTAGCACAAATGGATGAATTGATTCCACTTTTCGTTTTGTTTCGTGCACTTGATATGGGTTCTGATAAGGAAATTCTCCAAACGGTGGTACCTGATTTAAAGGATGCTGCTATGCTGGAAATGCTACGTGGTTCTATGGAAGATGCAAGTACTCTGCAGATATTTACACGTGATGAAGCATTGTGGTTTATTGGTAAACGATTGGGAAAGCAAGATAGTCGTGAAAATTTACAGCGTGAAGCTCAGGACTTGTTAATGCGAGATCTTTTACCACACATGGGAGTTGACTGTGCTGCCGATCGAAGTAAATGTCTTTTTATTGGATATATGGTTCACCGTTTACTTTTACTGGCACTTGGTCGTAGAGAAGATACAGATCGTGACTTTCTTGGTCATAAACGCATTGATGTGGCTGGTGCTCTCTTAACTTTTCAATTAAATCAATTTCTTGTACAGGTAAGAAAAGAGATGACTAAAACTGTACATGATTATTCAACTAATCGTGGAGGTGTTGTGAGTTTTGGAAGAATTTTACACAGCCGTCTTATCACAGATGGACTGCGTCGATGTCTTGCTACAGGTAACTTTGGTGACCTAAAGTCTGGCAATATAAAAACTGGTGTTGCCCAAACTCTTAATCGCTTGACATATTCTTCTTCTTTAAGTAATCTTCGTCGAATTCAAAATCCAATTTCTGCTTCTAGCAAAGCTACAAGACCTCGTAACTTGCATTGTACTCAATGGGGTTACATTTGTCCAGTTGAAACCCCAGAAGGAGGTTCTATTGGACTTTTAAAGAATTTAGCACTTATGTGCCTTATTTCACGTGGTAGTGATCATACAGGTGTTGTACAAGCAGTACAAGCTCGTATTACTGGATTTCACTCTATTGAACTTGATGACCTCGCTGATGTACGAGTTGCTCGTGTTTTTGTGGATGGAACCCTTATTGGTGTTCATCGTGACCCTGAACGTCTTTTACGTGAGTTACGTGCTCGTCGTCGAGGTGGAGAATTGAGTAATGAGGTAAGTATTGTGCGAGATATTCGTGATCGTGAAATTCGTGTTTTTTCAGATGCTGGTAGGTGTCTGCGTCCACTTTTTGTAGTGGAGAAGTCTCGTATTAAATTACAGAAAACTGGTATTGGTGAGTTACTGGAACCATCTAAGATTCCTGGAGGAAAACGTGAGATTTCTTGGAATCGGGTAATGAAAAAGGGTTATGTTGAACTTATTGATTGTGAAGAGGAAGATTCCTTGCTCATTGCCATGACAGCAAGTGAGGTAAGTAAAAACTATTACTATTCTCATTGTGAAATGGATCCATCAATGATTCTTGGAATTTGTGCTTCTATCATTCCATACCCTAATCATAATCAGTCTCCACGTAATACATATCAATCCGCTATGGGAAAACAAGCTATGGGAATTTATGCATCTAATTTCAATATGCGTATGGATACTACAGCTCATGTACTTTTTTATCCACAAAAACCACTGGTACGTACAAAGGCAATGTCATATATGCGAAGTAATGACCTTCCAGCAGGTCATAACGCGGTTGTAGCCATTGCTTGTTATTCTGGATATAATCAAGAAGACTCTATTATTATGAGTCGCTCGGCAGTAGAGCGTGGTTTCTTCCGAAGCGCATTTTGGCGTTCATACAAGGCATCTGAAGAACGAAAACGTGATGGTCGTGAAATATTTGAAAATCCTGACCGTAATATTTGTCGTGTAAAGCGTGCAGACTATACTAAACTTGATACAGATGGTCTTATTAAACCAGGAATGCCTGTTATGGGAGGAGATATTCTTGTCGGAAAAACGATGCCTATTCCAGAGGCATCTATAGATAATACTACTATGACTAATACAAGAATTGTTAAGAGGGACTGCAGTGTGGCATCACGAACAACAGAAAAGGGAGTGGTTGATAAAGTTATGCTTACAGAGAATAATGGTAATCGTTTTACAAAGGTAAAAATACGAACTATAAAAATTCCTAATATTGGTGATAAATTCTGCAGCCGTCATGGTCAAAAAGGAACTAATGGAATTCAATTTCGTCAAGAGGATATGCCTTTTAACCGTGATGGTATTGTTCCAGACTTGATTATTAATCCTCATGCTATTCCATCACGTATGACGGTTGCGCACTTAATAGAGACTCTGGCTGGAAAAGTGGCATGCTATAAGGGAAGTGAAGTATATGCAACTCCGTTTTGTTCTGTCGTTGTGGAAGACTTTGGAAAGGCTCTTCACCAGCTTAAGGGTCAGCGTTATGCTAATGAGTGTTTATACAATGGTCATACAGGTTTACCTCTCGATCATCTCATCTTTTTTGGTCCAACATACTACCAACGACTTAAGCATTTATCTGGAGATAAAATTCACGCGCGTCCTCGAGGACCACTCCAACCTCTTGTACGTCAACCAACAGAAGGACGTGCTCACGAAGGTGGTCTTCGATTTGGTGAAATGGAACGTGATTGTATGCTCTCCTATGGGGCATCGCAGTGGCTTCGTGAGCGACTGTTTCGTGTGAGTGATTACTACGCTGTTCACGTGTGCAATATTTGTGGAACAATATGTGCAGCTGATACAGAACAGAATATGTACAAGTGCCAAGGATGTGACAATGACTCTCGCGTCTCTCAGGTTCTCATGCCATATGCATGCAAATTGTTATTTCAAGAGCTCATGTCAATGGCTATTCTCCCACGCCTCGGAACTGGTCCACTCTAATCACGCCTATATTTCTTATAGCTCAATAAAAACTGAACATGAAGAAAGATGAATGATTAACAGGAATCAATTTTTATTGCATACCTGCAATTAAAGAAAAAAAGATTCTTTACACTTTTTTCTATTTCTTTTTTTTTCGTACTCTTATATATATAAATATATATATATATATATATTTTTCTTTATGCTTAAAAATAAAAATTGCATATTTGTAATCCTTTTTTTTTTCTTTTTCTTTTCTATCAAGTACAAACAGATGATGTCAAGCAGATTATCTGTTTCACTATATAGACGAGTATTTAGGCTACTGACAAGTATCAAAAATATCGGAGCTGAACCTGTGGCAATGGAACGCTACGCTGAGTACCTTCCACCGACACTTATTTTAGAAAAAAATGATTCTCTTCTTGCGGTTGCTCGAAAAGTATTTTTAACAACTCCATACACCCCAGAGGCTCTTTCAAATGGATTTTCTTTTATAAAAGATGCCATAGACTCATTACCCGATTTAGAACTTCTTGCTCTGTGGCATGCCTATCGTTTAGGTGGTGAATATGATCTTTTGTATGGTATTGCACTTGTGAGTGCCGCACTAAAACTGTCAGGGAGTCGGGTACCACCACGTATGGGTGATTTAACTACAGCTGTGGCAAACCTAAAGGCTGAGGTTGAGCATCTCACTACGGAAATAAAAGACTTGTTTGAGGATAAGAAACCTTCTTCAGGAAAATGTGGGGTAAAACGACTTGTTCCATCAATTCTTGCTGCTATGAGTGAGCTTAAAAAGCGTGGCTATTGTGTGAGTGAAGGTTCTCCAGAAGACTATGCTGTAATCAATATGTCCCGTAATAAACACGGGTGTACACTTCTTTTTAATGCTCTCTTTGTTGTAGCTCTTCTTGAACACGGTGTGTTGTGTACTGTAGTTGGTACAGACTCTCTCCGATCATGGCTGCGTGTACAAAAGGAGGGAGGACGTCCCATCTTTCTTTCTTTTGACTGTATGGATGCATACACAACAAAAGAACTGGAACGCCTTAATTATTCAAACTTGCAGAATACACCAAAGTGGTGTCGTTCGTCAGAGTGGAACGCACAATGTCGAAAGCACATTCTTTCTACTTTGCTAAAGAGACAGCTTTTGGCTCTCTCCTCAGCTACAAATAATCCCTTACGTTTACAACAGCAAAAATTTTGCCGTATACAAATACTTTTTCTTTTGTCGTAGTGCGGCTTTGTTGTGGATTTTGATTTTTTTTTCTTGTTCACGCTTTTGTTTTGTGTTTCTCTATTCTTTGGGTCCTACATATGTGTGCGTGTCGCCTTGTCATTACAATTGCTCCTGTAGTTTGAAAATAGGCGATTTAGGAGTCTCTGTATACGAATCTGGTTTTCTCTCTGTGTGTGTGTGTGTCTATACCTATTTCTTTTATTAAATGGCTGATGGCACTTTGCGTTTGGGAAATGCTTTAGTGCTTGGAGAGTTCTGCGAGGTGCATGGACCAGTTGTACGATTATTACTATTTCAGCACCCCGTTTATGGTCATCCTGAAATACTTAACAGTAATCAATGGTCAGCAACTCTCACAGAAATGTTGGAAGAGCTTATGACTCTCAGTATCTGCGGAGATTATACCATAAAAGAAGGTTCTACAGATACAGTAACAACACATGTAATGCGTTTTGTACTGGACAATATTAGGTGGGATTCCACAACAGCCTTTGCTCATGTAGCAAGAATAAATTTACCTGATGCCTTTGCCCGAGGTCAGCAACGGGCGGTTTGTGTTATTTTTGTTAACTTGTCACCACATATATCGATGTCTCTTTCTCGTTGGATTGGGGACTGTTGTGAAATGATTCTACATCGTTTGGCTCATGGTGCACAACTCTGCGTTTATAATGATATTCAACGCTGTAAGAAAGCGTATGCTTTACTCAGTGTCGCATCTGAGAGTGAGGGATTGCTCCCTCAAGAGACCTTGAACCTTCTACAACATGAACTGCAAGTACTTATGTGTATGAATAGACATGGTGAAACTAGTCTACAAGCTCTCTCTCAGACTCATTGTAATAGTATTGAAATGACCTCTATAGAAGCTATTCATATTGCACACGATTTAGTAACCCGTAGGGGAACTGTTCCACTCCGTCCTCTATCATTTGTATGTGGAACACATTATGATGAAAGTTTGATGGACATGAAAAGGTTACTCTTATACTTTTCACTTGACATGACGTGGATGATGGAAGGAGCACTAGGAAGGATGCCTAGCATTTTTTCAATTTTTCATTCCTCCTTTGCCGAAGCAGAGAAGCATAACATCAAGAAGGAGAATGCTATATCGCCACTTGAATTCGTTTTTAATGTTGGTGAGTGGGGTGTTTTGCGGCCACTTCTACCGACAGATGCTTGTGGTGGATTTTTACCTCACACCTGGACCCCACCAGGCACCGATTTCACCGCAATTAACGACCGCAAATTATATAGTGTACTAAAAGGATATGGTGCCCAACACATTGTTAACGTTGCATATAACGGATTGCGATGTAAAAGAATAATTGTTTGTGGATACGATGAATGTGCTGTAGTTCACGCTATGAAAGTAGCATGTTTGTTTATTCCTGGGCTTTTGCAGTGTGGTGAAGACACACTTCGTCTTGGTATTCAACCACTTAGTTCTGAAGAGCCAATCTCCGCTTCTGACCTGCATCACTTTGCTGTAGTAGGTTGTCATGTGAATGCTGCTATTCGAAACAATGAACCCTTCTTTCCACAACATTGTACATGGTACGTACGGTATAAGGCTAATGATATTTATAGATATCGTACGGTAAATGTATTTGGGGAGCCATACAATTCACATCTTTATAACAGACCGAATCGTAGACAACCCTTTTCACTATCATTACAGTCATCACGATCTTCACCATTCTCATCATCATCATCATCATCATTACTCATGTCACCACCACCAACAGGACAATCATTACCATCATCCTCCACAGTACCTATTGTAGAAGACGGAAGAACTGGTGTGCTTGCAGAACTTTTAAGTGTATTGCGTCAAAAAGCTTCCACATCTGAGGATGAGGTGGTCTTTTCAGATCACATTCGTGTGGTTCTAAAACATCTACAGTTTGAGTACTGCTCTCTCGCTTCACTTGTTCTTCATAGTCTCTTGAGTCGCAGCTGCCGTCATGGACTAGTAGACACACTGCAACAGGACAATAAGAATAAGAATACATTGCCATACTTTAGTAGTAGGACTCTTGTAGTACCTGAGTATACCTGTCCGTATGTGTGGACAGAGGAGGATACAGAAGAGGTACTTCATACTTTGTTTGGTGTGACTATTGCTACTCGCAGTGACCTCACTATTGTCACGGAAATTGTGAAGCGTATGTCTATCATCACGGCACAGCAGTGCTCCTCCAGTATGCCGAAGGAGGTATGAAACCCCCATGTACAAGAATGGTAATAAAACAAAAAAAAACAAAAGAGTAAAGAGAGATTCAATTATGCTTTGGGAAGTGTAAACTAAAGTAATAATATTCTACATAGTTCTAGTGTTTTGGATAAATGGTCCATCTCTTTTTTTTCTTTTTCGTTTCCTTTATCTTATTTGTACTCTAGTAATCTTTTAAAGTTTTTTTTTCCAACACCATCAAAGACAGCAGCCTCTATACAGAACTAGCTGTACACATTCCGCACAGAAAACAAAAAATACGCAAATACACATTGTTTATTGATCTACAATGGCTTCCGTAAAGGTGAAATGGGGCAAAGAAGTACTTCAGCTTACAGTAGATCTTAATATCACCGTAAAGGAATTTAAGGAGGAACTTCAAAAAACCACCAATGTCCCAGTGGAACGACAAAAACTTATGGGACTTAAACCCAGTGCGTTGAATGACAGTGCAAGGCTACTGGATGTTGGTGTAACAAATGGTAAAACTGTAATGCTCATTGGTACAGCAGAAGCATTGCCTGCTGTTAGTGCACCAACTTCTGAAGAAGGAAAACCAAGAACAACAACAACAACAACAACAACAAAACAGAATGTTGACAATGTCTCATCGGTAACAATTACACCGAATGGATTGAGAAACATAGGAAATACATGCTATATGAATTCAGCTATTCAGATGCTTCGTCTTGTTCCAGAAATTCGAAGTGTACTTGAATCCAATAATCACGTTCCACTTCTATACCAGTTGGGTCAGATGTATAAAACACTGGATGAAGTTCGTGAGACCTTTACACCTTTACTATTTTGGAATAGTTTGATTGGGAGATACCCCACCTTTGGAGAGCGTGATGATTCTGGAAGGCCAATGCAACATGATGCTCAAGAAGCTCTCAATGGTCTGGTTGAAAATATCACTAATGTATTGCCGGAAGAGGAAAAGATTCTCTTTCGTGGCTTATTGAAGCAAACTATGACCTGTAAGAATGAAGGTAATTCCACACCTACAGTCCAAGATATACCATTTCTCATGCTTTCTTGTAATATTAATACAGAGGTACAGACATTGGAAGCTGGACTGGAGGCAGCTCTTAATGAAACAGTAACACTACCATCAGAAGGGGATTCCGCTTCAACCGTTTACACACGGATGAGTCGTATCAGTTCTTTACCAGAATACCTCTTTGTGCATCTCGTTCGCTTTTCATGGAGGGCTGACACACGTGTAAAGGCCAAGATACTGAAGCCAGTAACTTTTCCCATTGTTCTGGATCTTTTTACATTCTGTTCAGAAGAACTAAAGGAAACACTAAAGCCCGAACGTGAAGAAGTCATGAAACGACGTGATAAAGAGCTTGATCGTCTCCGTGAACAAAAACAAAAAACACGATTTGAAAGTGAAGGACAAACAGAAGAAACAACTTCTTCACTCACTTCTGCAGACGCAGCAGCATCTATTGGTAACAAAAGTGGATATTATGAGCTTTGTGGTGTCATCTCACACAAGGGACGAAGCGCTGACAGTGGGCACTACGTGTTCTGGGGAAGGCCTACTAATCAATGGATGGTATTTGATGATGAAAATGTGGCTCCAGTAACTGAAGAAGATATAAAGCGGCTTCGTGGTGTGGGTGAGGGTCATATTGCGTATGTATTGATGTATCGTACACGTAATCCAATAACAAAGCAAACTACCCTGCCTCTATAACTCCATTACGTACGAAGAAGAAAGAAAACAATATATATATGGTTTAACTTGTTCGTTTCTTTTTTTTTTTTTGTTTGTTTGTTGTTGTCTCTTTTTCACCGCCTGGACGTACATTTATATGCAAACAAAGAAAAAAAATATTATATAGTGGAATTTCTATTTCTTCATTCTTTTAATTTTCAGTGTTTGCTTGTTATTCTTTTTTTTATTGGTGTTACACTTCTTTTCTTTTTTTTTCATTTCTTTGTATATATATATATATATATGTGTGTGGGCTTCTGCAGTGCATTTGTGTTAGAGTGTAGCTTCTCATCCGTCTCTTTTAAAACTACAATAATGAATTCGTCTGATGAGGATACTGTTAAACTACGTCGTACCAAGGCAATGTTACAAAGTTCTCCAACCGTCCGTCTTCAGACATTTCGCCCTCGTGAGAGTAGTAGTGAGAGCAGCACCGAGTCATTACATAGTAAACCTAAGACTACAAAACCAAATACAACTAATTTAAAACAGATAAAGACTGTTCTTGATTCTCTTTCTTTTGGCAAAAACAAGACTGTAGATCGTTCAACAAAATCTACACGAACATCTGAGCACTCAGAGAGCAGCATCAAATTTGAAGTAGATCAAACGAGTAACAGTGATATTTCATTAGATATTAACGATACACACGATAGAAAGAATGATCCCTTACCATCTGCGCAGGTTGTGGTACCCCAACGTACCTCTGCTATCTCCAATGGTAACAAAACCTCTGTCGCCCCTGTGGCCTTAACTTCGACGGAGGAAATAGCGCCTGTAGTTAACATTCCTCCTTCCACACAGAAGGACGTTACTCCGTCCTCTGCAAATACTGCAGCATCGCAAGTTAACTCTCAACGAAATACAATAAAGAAAGATGTATCAAGATCCATAACAACCTCCAAGAAGGATCGTAACATCTCAAAAACACCGGTACGTACTCACATACAGCGAAATGATGATCATTCTTCTTCACCACAAATTAAGAGTGCGGTCCACGAAGAAGTAAAACCACAAAATACAGTAAAGGAGGTGGAAGTAGGAAGCGATATGCGAAGTGATTCCGAGATAGATGAAATCCTTCCCAGGTCTTCAGGTATCTCGAGAAGCAACACGAATAAAAATAATATTATTGCTGACACTGGACATGCGGAAAGTTCTACTTTGGCCTCCGTTGAAGCTCGAACAATACCCACTCCACTCCACCGAGAGGCTGCGCAGAGTGATCCTGTAGAGCGTATGCTTCTTCGTGCTCGGCAACGATTACAAGAGCAAACGGCTGTGGAAGCGTCTGCACCAAAAGCCTTTGTGAGAACTCCAATAGATTCTCCACGTTCTTTTTCGAGATTTATCACACCAGATCGAAAAGGATCATACTCTGAGAAGCCATCAACGTCGCATCTTGCTTTACCGAATAATATATCCGGTTTACTAGATGACAAGTCTCGTCGTCTACAGCAGGAGGTTCAACGTCTACAAGAAGAAGTTCTTTTTTTATCAAAAGAGAATCAAAAACTAAAAAGTGCGAATAGACAACAGGATGCTGCACAGTATACACAATTGCAGATGACAGTAGATGTATTACGCTCTCAATTACATGATGAAGAAATGCAGAAGCGTGCTGCTGAAGAGAGTGCTCTCAGTGTGCAAGCTGAAATGGATCGAATGCTTGGAGAAGTAAATGATCAGCTTCAATCCTACATGTCCACTGCGTCACAGTATGAAAAACTCTATACTGAAAAGATGCTAGAAATAGAGGATCTTAAGACGAATTCACAAGTATTACGAAATCGAATAAAAGAGACGGAAGAAAAGGAGAAGCAGCAGCGGTTACTTTTTGAACAACAACGATCACATGATCTGGAGAACATGGAACGCATCAAGGCTCTCTTAGAGGAATCCAAGAGACAACGATCCCAATTACTTGAACTCAACGAAAAGATACACAAAGAAAAGGAAGCTGCCATAATGGATCGTCGTCAAATGAAGGATGAGCTACACAAATGTGAAGAGGATCTTCGTAGAAAAGAGGAGAAACACATCAAAGAATGCAACACTTTAGAAGAAGATTGTAATCGGTTAAAGATTAGTTTGGCTGAAAAGGATCGTCTGCTCTCTGCGCAGCTTAGAAGTGCTCAACAGGCAAATGATATGCTTCAACAACGTCTCACTGATGTATCGGAACAAATGAAGGAGGATGCGGAGCGACAGCGACGTTCATATGAGATTTCGAGGGAAGAGGCTCGGCAAACCATAGCCACTGAGAGAGAGAAGAGACTAGAATTGGAAAAGCAAGTAAAGTCTTTAGAGGATGAATTAAGGCATGCTAAGCGATCTGTTACAGAGCGTGCGAACCATGATTTAAATGAGTTGGTTGTTTCTTTAAAAAATGATCTTTCACGTGTTTGTAAAGAAAGGGATGACCTTCATGGACAACTGAGGGATGCGAAAGATGCACTGAAAAAACTCCAGGAAACCTGCAATCGTTATGAGGTTGAGTTGGACTCTCTAACCGAAAAGCGCAGAGTTTCTGAGGAATTCATGCATCAAATAGATACTCAACGAGGCAAGCTTGCAGAGACTCTTGAACATATGTTGATGCAGAACGATCAGCTTCGTGAGGAAAATGCGGTTCTCCGTGCCGACGTGGATGACCGTGAAGCCGCACTGCGCGATGCTCAACTGCAGATGGGATCTTTGGTTTCTCTGCAGGATGAGGTGCACTGCCTCACTCAAGAAAATGAGCGGCTCTCGGAGGAGTGCGACCGCCTTTCAGGCGAACGTGCTGCCTTGATAGAGGAAAACGGTAAAATAGCAGAAGAAGTACTCAAGTGGCGAAATGAGTTGCGTCGCCAAATCACACTGCCGCGAGTATATACACCGCAACGTGCTGGAACACAACTATCGTCCCCTCGCGTCTAACTTTTTTTCTTTTATACTTGTGTCGGTTGTAACTGGCCCATAATTTCTCTCTCTCTCTTTCTTTCTCTATCAGTGCACCTGTATCTATTTATCTATGTATCTCTCTATAAGTAACCCTCTGTCTTTTCTGTTACTCTTTCTTCTCTTTTTTTTTCTCCACATTCTCTGAAAATGTAATCGTTTGAAATAATTATATGTATTCTCTTCTTTTTCTTCTATTCATCTAGAAACATATACGTATATTCATATATATTTACTAAAGAGTTTGGTTATGAAGACGATTCGTGTCGTACCTGTGGTGACGTCTGCGATACGGCTCTTTCATGGTGGTAGTGTTAGACAACGTCAGCCGCGACGCACAACGTATCACGCTGTGAGTTGCGCCAAATCAGGGAAAGAGCGGTTTGATTTGGCGGAGGCACTACGTCGTGATAGAGAGACTGCACAACGTAATAGAACTCTTCCATGGCGTACGCGTATTGGTATGATTAAGGACTATCCATGGAAGTTTTTTTTAGCCTTCATGCTAATATGGTCATGGGCTGGAACTTATGCCGTTCCCTACATGAAAAAAATGAAACGGGGTGATGTCACATCTCTTAGTGATGACTGGCGCCATTCGCAACAACGTAAATAATATACTACACCAACTCTATTGGTTTTACACACTTGTAAACGGATGGAAGAAAAAAAAACAAAGAAAGCTTAATAGTTTTCTACTACAATTTATCACTCTACCTTTATGGTGGAGACCCACTTGTTTACAATCTGGGGATAAAAGGATGATCTGTAATTCCCTTGTATTTTGTATTTTCATGTGTTCTCGGATGGTTAACGCTATTTTATTTTTATTATTTTTCTTCACTCTGAGGATTTGTTTACCATACGGTAAATAGTTATCGCATGTGTTCATCATAAAGTGACACTAGGTCGGTTTACTCATTATTCTTTTATCTTGGTGTCACGCTAACAAACAATATCTGTCGGTGTATGTGTGTGTAAACTCTATTTGGTAGCGTATCACCTTTTTTGCATAGTTGTCACTATGATTGTCACAGTGATTTAGATATGATCAATGAATAGTCTCCTCTTTTAATTTTACATTTGCATCTTTTTGCCTTGTAATCTTCACGTTTGACGTTGCTTCGCACTTTTAGAGTATGAACAGGTTTAACCGCCTACAAAGTATATAGTATAGATTTCGCTAAAATACGAAAAAAATATAATAATAATTCTGTGGATAACAATCTCCATAATTTTCTGAGAATAGTCAGATTTAACTACACCAATGAAGGTGTGTTATGAATACATCATTTAATTTATTGCCTTTATTGGTTTGCTTATTTTTTTGTTGTCTTGCTCCCTTTCACTGTTATTTCCAAATTTGGAACTTTTTCTTCTTCTTGAAAAGTGTTTTTTTTTTCTTCTTCTAGACTCTTTTTTTTGACAGTATGATTGAGAGATTATAGAAACCATAGTCATCGTTTAGTTTTCACTGTTTGACAATGGTTATGTAAAGAACTTCTTTATGATATGTGTATTTTTTCCTTTTTTAAAATTCAAGGCAGTTACACTTATTGGCAATACTTACTTTATCATGTTGTGCTCCTCATATATAGAGAGATAGATAGAGAGAAAGAGATGTATTCATGATGTAGAGAGATTTACAACGGTTTATTTGGGGTTTTTTTGTTATGACCTGTTACATTTTTTCGCCAATAAATATCTCTGGATGCTCTGTTATTCTCCACCGTGTGCGTGTTATTCTTATTGGCAATTCCACTTTGTGTAGTGGACTCACTGTGTTTATTCGCTCAGCCAAAAAAAAAAAAGAAAAAATAAGAAAGTTGGAACAACAATTTTTTAATGAGAGGAAAAAAAAAGGTCGTAATATGTATTACACTCTCTCATCATCGTTATTCTCTCTCTTCTTTATGAGTACCTTTGATTTTATTTCCGAATAATTTTTTTTTTTCCTTTGGACTCACCTTTCTTGGATTGTGCTTCCTTTAATGATAGAGTTCAGCACATCATATTTCACTCCTCTACTGTATGCGTGCATCATTTTCATTCTCTGCCATCATAAAGACATCCTCAACACCCCACTTATTATTGAAGGGATGGTTACTTCTCATTGGGCTTGCACACTTCTCCCAGTCGTTTTTGTTGGTGTTGGTGGGTGGGTGTCATCACTCCAGAATTGAGATATTTTTTTTTAAGGGTGTAGACCCGGAGGGACGAAATGGAATTAGTACATATTCACTTTTACAAGGGATGTGTCCTACTTGTCACTCTGCACTCTTTTTCGGTTTCTCTGTTTTTCTGCAGTTATGATAAATAACACTGGAGTCTGGGGAAGAGATGAGGTGCTTAAAGCAACGATAAACTCAAAGGGATTCTCTCCTTCTCCATATAAATCACTGAAAGATGTATAAAGTAAATCTTGGTTTTCAGAATATATTTAAATGGGTGGCATTCTCTCTCTATGCACATAAGGAATGTTGGTTTCGTGTTTGTATGAATAAGCGTTTGAACGTGACCTCACAACTGTACCTGTGTCCCATGTATACACCTATTATCCATCATATTAGTCTAAGGACTCCTTGATGTTTGCGCTTGTTTCAAGTATTTCTAATTGTAGCACCTCCATGCAGTTTTTAAATACCTATATTGTAGCGAAAACCTTCCCATGTGCTTCCATCACTCTATTTCCCACACATTTGTCTTTTTTTATTACTCTCTCTCCCTCTCTCCCTGTGTGTGTGTGTGTGAAAGAGAGTGCAGGCTGAACGGTGGGTACTATTCACCCCTTTGATTGTATTTGGCGTATTATTTATTCCAATTCTAAGGGTTTCAATATATTTTTGGTTTTGGGGAGGAAAGTTTGTTATTCATCTTCTCATAAACTATTACACAACAGTGTTTCCTACACATTTTGTGTTTTTTCAGGTGTTTTCTGTCAAAAGTATTTTTCCTGCACTATTAACACTTTTTTTAGTCATTTTTATTGCTTCTATTCACTACTTTGTATTCACGGTAGAGGGTGGTGTCTACACAGTGTGTATTTGTTTCCATCTATTTTTTTTCCTCTTGTAGGTTTCCGTTAGTTTGATTCTTTTGAAGGTGGTTCTTTCCTTTTGCATATAATTTGTTTCTCTCTTTTTGTGTAGGTATTTGAGTGTTTCCATCTTTGTTTAGAATAAAAGATCCATTTGTATATACTTATTACTTGTATGATGAACACTCAAATTATATTGTTCTTTCTACGGAAGCGCGATCCAGAATGACCTCCTTCTTTTATTGCTTTCAATTACAACTGCAGACATAAAATGGAAATCTTATATACCGCTTTTTTTGGTCTCTTCTTGTTTTGTTTTTTTAATCCACTAGGAGCTCTTCTTACAACAGTGTAAAAGGCAAATAAAAACATTATTAGTATATTATCTGTGAATAATCTTAAACTTTTTATTATTATTTCTAACTACTTTTATGGTGTACTTATTCTCTCCATCCCTTTTTATAATCATTAGGTGATTGCTAGTGAGGCATCATGGGAGACCACTCATCAATAGATTTTACCGAAAAATACGCCCTGACGGATAATGATCCCATCGGTGAAGGGGCGTACGCTGTTGTTTACAAGTGTGTAGATCGTAAGACCAAGCAGGAGTTTGCGGTAAAGGTAGTAAACAAGGGAAAAGCTGGTCCGAAAGATATTGACAGTCTTGACTTTGAAATACGAGTAATGGAAAAAATTGGTCACCATCCGCACGTTGTTGAGCTTATCGATCATTTTGAAAGTGAGTCACAAATATATCTTGTCTTGGATCTTTTGAATGGTGGTATGCTTTTTAACCACATTGTGCGATTATCGCACTACAGTGAAAAGAGTGCAGCTGACTTGGTGAAGAACTTACTTTCAGCGCTTGCACATATACACTCCAAAGGCATCATACATCGTGATCTTAAACCAGAAAACTTGCTTCTTCGGCACAAGGATGATTCTTCTGCTAATGGTGTATCATATCTTTCAGATATCTGTCTCGCTGACTTTGGTCTCGCAGGTACGATCCCAAGTCGTGTATGCTGTGGTTCTCCATCCTATATTGCCCCAGAGGTAATCAATGTAGGGTATTACTTTAATGAACGTGAACCATATGATGAAAAGTGTGATATATGGTCATTGGGTGTAATTACATATATCCTTCTCAGTGGACGAACGCCATTCGGTGGTGGCTCGTACAAGGATACATTTCGAAGAATTGTATCAAACAAATGGAGTTTTTCAGGAGACATATGGAATTCAATTTCACCAACTGCAAAGGCGTTTATAACCGCGTGCCTTACACAAGACCCAAAACAACGTCCCTCTGCACAGGAACTTTTGAAACACGCGTGGGTGAATACAGACCAGCCAGATCGTCATTTGTGGGAAAGTCTGCAAGAACTACGGCGCTTCAATGCACAGCAAATGTTACGCGCCGGCTTACATGTCTTCTGCACCACACACTCCTTACTTGGGAAGCTGGATAACACACCACCTTTTATGAAATATTTACGGCATCACGATGTGCTTTCTACTGTGATTGAAGTACAGTCACAGACGGACGCTTACAAGACACATTTTGTGGACTTTGGAAAGGCTCTAAATCCCCCACCGGGATGGCGTTTGCAGGACTGCTGCACCTGTCCTTCTGAACTTGTCTGCCGTCACATTCAGAATGTTAATGAGTATCTTTTTGTGGGAAAGCGCAGCATGGATATTTATCCTCTCATGGATGAGCTGCTGCTGTTGAAAGAGGATGCTGAGCGTGCCGTTAAAAAGAAACCAAGAAGTAATAAGGCACAGAAGAATCTTGAGAAGGTTTTACATGTGATTAAAGCGGCTACTGCCTTTTCCGAAGCCCTTGCAAAGATACCACAAGATCAGCGTAAACTCAATTTAATGCTTAGTATCCCACCAAATACATTAAAACAAAAGACTGAGACACCAACAGGGCCGAAAACGGGTGTAAAGACATCTAAACCAACGTCTCCCAAAACATTTGATAAGATCCGTGCAGGAATCAAAACTTTTTTTGACCGCCTTTAAAAAATTTACATCAAAAATTATTTGTTATAGTAAGTACCCTGTTATCTGAGAAGAAACACGTTCCTGAATGAAATGAATTTTCTTTATCTTTTCATTGTAAAAGCTGATCTCTTTTGTTATTGTTGTTATTAACACATTGTTTTTTTTTTTTTTTAAAAACAAAAAAATTCCTTTATACGGTTATTACTCAGTGAATTCTTTTTTTTTTGTAATACCGAAAGCATATAATATAAGTTTAGTATTTGAGATTGAAACATCCTGAATATGTCATTATTTGACAAAACAAAAAGAGTGCTTGTACGAACTAGGTGTAGTGTAGCAATAACATGCTATTCTGTAGTTATGCATAAGAGAGTGCAGGACATTTTTTTTATTATCTTTTAACACGGTTTGCTCTCTATCTTTTTCTTTATGAATACAGAGTGTTTTCTTTTCTCATTTTGATGGTTGTTTCTCTCAGAAATTCTATTTAGGTGGTATGTATGATACATAGCATACTGTTTTTCTGTATTTCATGTGATGGCAAGATGTAACGATATGTATTCTCTTACAATACCTTGGGGTGATATATTAATATATGTGACAAGTTATGGATTACTTCCCATGGTAAGATATATTTTACTATTGGCGTTGTACTGTACTAACAGAGGGTCCTGTATTTTTACAATTGGAAAAATGATAGCTATACCATGCTACAAGAAGTATTTATGTGGTGATGACGTGTCTCGGGTAATGTCCCTGATATATAGACGTTAGAGACTGTGAGTGAATGAAGGTCTTTTATTTTCACCTCTTTTTTTTCTATTGCTTTAGTGGTTTCTCATGCTAGCAACTGATTGGGAAACGTTGGTCATAATGATATAATTAATGTGCACCCTAATATGATTTATCACGTGAAGAGCTACTCTCTCACACACACACAGCACCAGTGATGCCGTATGATGTACTAGAAGATTAGACAGGATATGAAATGATGTTTTGTTGATGTGATTAATAAGGTAAGAAGTATATGATGAACATTAATTTATTTTTTAACCGTCTGTGGTGTTTCTTTTTTTATACCCTGTGAAGTAGTCCACTGCATACAATAATAATAATAATAATAATAATAATAATAATAATAGAGAAAAAGAAAGGTGAGAGAAAGAGAGAATAATGGTTTCCTCAACTTGCACTGAGGGGATAGAGTGGTAGTTGCGTGGCGCAGAAGGGTGTATGATGCACGGCATTGCTATTCTGAGATGGTGTACAATCTCTCCACCATAATACTTGAGAATTGAGTGTGAAGGACTACTCTCTATGGTATGAGTAGTCTTATGTGCCTTTGCCACTGTTTAAGGTGGCGAAGGATGGCCATTCTATTTGTTATACGAGAGTCTAATTCCTCATTATATTCTTCACATCTCATACCTTTCAAAGATGTTTTTCTTGTTTCCATACAAACTTTCACAGTCATAGTAGTTTGCTTCTTTGCTACATTTGTATCGCTTTCTTCTTTCTTTTGCTATAATCAACATTGTTCATATGGAAAAATGAACTCGTTACGTTTCATTTTGTTTTCAAAGACATATCACTTACTGAAAAGCGTCACTATATTTACTAAACAGTTTTTAACCCTGCTTTATCTCCACCTTTTTTTTCTCCTACAGGATTCTATTTGTATCTTATGCCATGTGACGTGGATACATTCCATCGATGATTTATTTGAGCTCTTATGCCGCGCTCCTTGCGCTACCAGATTCCCTGAGGAAGAAGAGGTCAACGATACCTATGGCACTTACCTTTTGTACCTAGTAATACTCCTAGGTCCGATGCTATTCGCATACGTTGTACAAAAGTATTATAACGTTAACCTCAACTAAGGCTTATATCCATTTTTAATAATATAAGCATTATTGTTTTACTTTTTCTTTTTTCCTGCTTTCCATCTTTTTTACTTGCCTTCATGATTGCCTTATCGTACTCTATTTCGTTGCTGTAAATATACTTTGGTATTGTTCTTTTTATTTTGCATTTCCTTATCTCTCTTTTAACATACAGTGCTACTTCGCCAAATTGCAAGGTATACCTATTAGACCCATTCCACACATGCAATGCAGTTTTAGGTTACTTGAGCTCTATTTATC